ACAGCCTACAGTCCCACACAGATTAGAGAAACACCAAGCAGGCTGAATCATTACTGAAAATAAATATCTCGGTAACACTTTATAATAACGTTCATTTATAAAACATTTATAAGCTTTTAATTCATAATTAACTAATCATGAACTAATGATGTATTTAGAGTTATAAATCATTAATTAATATATTAACAACACTTTACAAGACACCTATAAGCTCTTACTTCATGATTAACAAATGATGAGTAGCTCGGGAATTCAGTAGTTATTCTTCAGTTATGTACATACTACAATAAAAATTCATATGTTAGTAGCATATTTACAAACTTTAAAGTTTAGAAGTTCTTTAGCCAAAAAACCTTTCAAAGTAAAACATCTATAAACTTCTACTTAATGATTTACTAATCATAAACTAATCAAGTATTTAAGAGTTGTTCTTCATTGTTTTATACATTAATGGCAGTGGTGCCATTTGAGCAACACAGTCTACAACGTGTCCTCTTTACAAGATATCAGGGTTTTATAATGGTCCATATATAATAATACATAGAACTGTCATCACACCTCCCTGGAGAACTCCTTATTCTCTGTCTGCATATGTATGAAGACCTGGTGTTGTTGATGACCGTTTCCCTTCACTGCAAACCTGTCATGCAGGTTTCTCCACTACAGCATCTGGACGATTTGATCAGTCAGGCCCTTTCAAATGATCAAAAGGGTTACTTATATCACCCCACTGCTGCGTTCTTTCCACTGGTGCCCACACCTGCCTACAAAGCCAAAAAATGGACCAGCTCCTTCCTACCTGATGACCTAGAGCAGTTTAAGCTTCAAGTACAGCCCATGAAAGACAAACATCAAGACTCTTCCATTGGATCCCATGTGCTGGAACAAACTTCCACTGAACAGCAGAATTCCTCACCATCTTCAAATGGCGACTGAAGATCCATCTTTAGACTCCAGCCTATTTACAGTAGTAGAGATATGTTTTCTGAGTGGACAAGAAAGCACTTTTCTCTCGATAAGTGCTTTTCCTTTATGCAATAAATGTAATTTAAATACATATGCTACTATTTCATAACTAATGATTGACAAATCAGGATGTTATTCGCTTTTAGTGAATGTACTGCATATGCATTACATTATCACAAATCAAAGCTACTAATTCAACGTGCCTTTTGTGAACCACAGTAAGATTCATTACAAATTTTTGGGCCTACAAGTGATTTGTTAAACATTAACAAACAGTACTGACTTTCTTACTCATGTTTTATAAAGGACCTGTTCATTACATATTAATTATTTGTAACATTTTTGCAGCCCCTAATCTAAAGTGGGAACTATTCCATACATATGAGTATCTAAAAATGCCTATAAGTCATTTACAAACTAAAGTCCTTTTGTTAAGTCATTTATACATTAATTGGTCAACATTTATAAAACATTTTGCAGCCCCTAATCTAAAGTGGAAACAAAAAACAATGTATAGACTTTTAATCAGGCTGTTTACTCAGTACTATTGCTAGCATTAAGCATGAGCTAGCACACAAATTCTTTATTTTATTCAACCATAAAATACAATTTATCAAAAGAGAACAAGTGAGTTGTTTGAATTTTTATTCCATATAATAGACACATTTGAGTTAATGTTTTCTAATAGCTATTTGCCAAACATTTAAAAGTAGCATTTACTTTTTTGGCAAACCTTCAACCTTAACTATATTGTAACTTGTCCTGCATGAACATTAGTACAAAAATGCATGTACAGTCTTTACAAGTTGCCTGATAAATTAATAGGACTAAATTCCGGTTGAGTTTAATATGGCATCTCATTCATGGAGTTTTCCAAGATCATGAATTAGCTGTCCTAGAGGCCCATTATGATGCTTTTTCGCTAGCCATTCATACCATTCAATTACAGTCAAGTGATTCTTCAATAGCTCTTCTGTCCGGTTACCTCTAAGCCTCCAAACTGTTTCCTTGTATGTTCTCCAGGCCCTCTCTATATGCTGGGTGTGAGCCCCTGTCTGAGCATCCACATATGATACACTGTGATTGACTGTGTAATGCCTGTAGCCAAGCTGAGGTAGAGCCTGCCGGTAGGCACGCCACTCATCACTTAGGATAGTGGATCCCCTCCTGACATGTTGAGTGATGAGTGGCATGAGTTCCCCTCTGTACCTCCGCTCGACGAGGCGAAGAACTGGCTTTCTTTGATTTGTGTCCCCAGCTTTCACACCAAGCATGCCGAACACCCACTTCCTCCTCCTCCATCCCCCAGCCATCCGTCCTCTTCCATACTAAGTTAGATAAAAAGGAAAGCAGTATCACATTAACTGCTTAAATGGCTATGTCCTGCCATCCAGTCTCATCTTCTGTTACAAAGTAATAAAAATTAAGAAATGCTTATGGTTCTTATGGTTAATGAATAATAAGCCAGGATAGGGATTAACCTCTTAAACTGCAAAAGCTTGTATATGACACATCAGTTCCTTACTCTCATAATTACATAATATATTAGCCTTTTAGGTAATGTTTTACCGATGGGCAGCCTTCATAAAGCTGCATGACAACCTCCATTAGTCTTTCATGACAACAAACATAAACCTACATAAACATTTACAAAGGCTCCAACAAGCATTAACTGTTATAAAGGCTGCTTTTGTCAACAACTAATTTGCTGTCTTCTGGAAGTACCTGGGTTGAAAAAATGTGCCAGGATCTGCTAACCCTAGAAAGTGATTCAATGGCCAACATTAAAATGTCCTATGAGTTCTATGATGTGTTTTAAGAATTGCATGTGAAATGGACACTATTAGGAATAGGAGAGCTGTGGAAAAGATATGACAACACTAAAACATCAGTTGTCATAACATGTTATGTTATTTTACACAGAAAGTGAAATGTCGTTACCTGATGCTGCCATAAATCTGTACATTGGTGTATTCATTACGTCAACTTTGAACTTGACAGAACCAGCCTTTATGACAACCAACACTTGTTGTGATAAACCTTTATAAATGTAAGATAATGTCAGTCATAAGAGACTTGTGTAGGATGTCACCTAGCCTTAAACACTGCCTTTCAGTAAAGTGTTACCACCTGTTACATATAACCAAAAAATTCATCATTGTTACTTGGCAATAAGTCTTAAGATTAATAGCTAAATAAAAGGCCTACAAGGGTTAATTATTTCAATTTAATTATTACTACTAACAAAGGAAGGAAAGGAAGAAAACTATGAAGAAATTAAGAAATGTATGTCCATTCAACATCATCACGACTATACAAAACGCTATAAAATATACCTGCCTTTCTTTTATGCCTGAAGTGACTCTCGTCTATAACAATGAACTGCCTGCGTCCTCCAATATGCTGTCCTTTCCTTCTTCTGAGTTTTTCCATTGACATCACACAAGCCTCTCTCACCTTTTTGGCCATTTTTGACAGAGTTGCTGAACTCCCTGCTATTTCATCAGCGATCATGTCGATTTGGCGTAAACGAAGACCTTGAGAAAACCTGTAGGCACATAATGATAGAAAACTTCTTAATTGTTTTTAACACATCACCAAGACTCTGATTGTATGAATTTAAGTTGTAAAGTTCAGCATTTCATGCAGTGTATGGATACCTAAAAATGAACTGAACAAAGATGTTTGAAGTGCTTTTGTTCACCTGAAATGTTTGCCTTGCTTCATTTTAAACAAAGAAGATATTTCACTTAAACATAACAAGTAAACTTGCTCATAAGCACAGGAAGTGCTTTTATAGGTTGCACTGTAAACATATTTTTACAGGGCAGAAACACATAGTCTTTGCACATTCTGAACAAGAATAATATTTAGTATTTGGTAATATTAAACTCAAGTGCAAAGTTCAAGTTCAAATGGCCACCCCACCCACACCTGTAATATGCAGCAATAGAATGCTGTTGCTAAGACCTAGTAAACCTGTATGTGTAAGCTGCTTTCACCTGTATACAAATTCCATCCTTTTGAAAAGAGACACTTTGGAACGACTAAACGCAGAGTTGTGCCTGACAGATCTCTTTACTTGCCGTCCCCTGTGGATAGCCCGTTGACACCTCCTGTATGGATAGGAATTATATTTATGTCCAAGGTATATTTAGGCTAAAAGGTATTTAGGATAGTCATGTTCAATTCCAACACTAAATTACTATCCATTATAGAGATGGGCAATATGGCAAGAACATACTACCACAACACTTCAAGAAGTTTATGAATTCTGACATCTGATAAGTTAGAACAGACAATGTAGTTTCACTTTTAAAAAATATACTGCATAAGGTATTTGATCAAAACATCTAATTACGAAAACAAATACAAAATCTATTTCAGATAATAATATTTACTTTCTGTAATGGCTATTTGTTAAACTATAGTTTTTCTTATGCCAACTAAATAACTTATTTTAGATAACTTAGGTTAACTTCTTCTGTTCTGTTACATTAACTTACATTAAAAAAAGCGTAACGTGACTTAACCTACCATTCATAGCAGTCCGAGCAGTCGCTGACTTTGAGCTTCATCTTGTGGTGACAAAGACTGCATTTCACCTTTCTTTGTAGTAGTTTCTTCTTTTGGAGCCACTCTATGAATTTTAGATGTTTTCTTTTTGATTTCTTGCCCTCGATCAGTTTCCTCACTTTTTTCTCAAAACACAACATTTTGGCGCAATTATAACCGGATGCGCTGCAGTTAAATATGTTCCACTCGAGTGGATGAGATTCAACCTTATAACATTATTTATTACCTATATATTGTACATATTTATATTAATCATGCATAATGCATATTTATATACCTTTTTTTTACTTCACAAATTAACTTGATTTACGTTTAATGAATCATATTATATGTATTTTGAAATACAAATAAACTATTAAAAGTGAAGGTGGAACTTTGGTGGACGAGTTGAGTTTATTCAGGGCTGCACCAGGGGGCGCAACAACACGCACGCTGCTGCATGGAGAAGTTTCGCGGTAATGGAGTTAAACACAGCCACTTCAACTCGGTCCAGGCGAGCTCAGAAAGGAAATAAAGGCACAACGTCGTCTTCAACAAAGACAAACAAGCTAACGGAAGACAACCAGGATGGAGAGGATGGCGCAGGTAAGCGGCGTTAATGTAATGATACCGCCAGCTAGCGTTAGCGGTCTGCTAGCTATAAACGAACGTTAGCAAATGTCGCTAGTTAGCGTTAGCTCCTGTTCCTAGGGCACTTAGCTATCGTTAGCGAGTTAGTTCGCAGTTCGTTGTCTATATCGTATGTTTTTAACATTCTCGGTCGAATTTCAGCATTTCAGCTTTGTTGGAGTCTGTAAGAGTAAAGCTATGTTAGCCAACTAGTGAGTTAGTACGGGTTTGCTCTGTATATCGCTGGAGAAAGTATAGCGAATGATGACTGAGGCGGCTCATCGCTCCCACGATCGTTTTAGGAGCCTCTCAGTCAGTAACGCTATTTCAGTCACTCAGCTTTCTCCTGTGCAGCTCCGTGGCTGTTGGGCTAGCATTAGCTAATATTCTGTTGATGCTATCTCATTAGGACTTGTGAGGAATGTATAACGCACAGATATAGTTTATAATATTTATCCTTTCAGGTTTCAGTAAATAGAGAATCAACAAAAAAGAAGTTTGGTCTTGAGAAATGTTAACATCACATTACATTTTAAAACGGCTCACTGTATATGTAAGGACTGCATTGATACAATATCAAAACAATCTCAACAACAAGATTGATTTCTTTAATTCTTTGAAAATATTGCAGGCCCCCTATTAGCCCCACAGCTGCAATGTCCTTGAGAAAACAACAGATTCTGCTGGCTGAAGCAAAGAAGAATGAAGAGGCTATGTCAAAAACAATTGCCGACCTGAAAGAAGAAAGGGACAGTCTTCTAAAACAATTAGCTAAATGTAAGTATTTTTTATTAGTAGAGGTGCAATGTAGCTATGAAGTCTTATGAACTTTTTAGTGCTCCTGCATAATAATAATTGTACAAAAATATCTGTGGTTAATTCCTACTATTTCACACAACAATGAATGTTTTTTTTTTTTATTTAAGTTTTGCCGCAGTTTGTGTCCATTTAAAGTAATGGCCGTTGACAGTAATGCATCAGTAGCACAGTTTTACATTTGCCACACAGATTGCAGAACAGCAGAGACAATTGCAAAATGACATACAATTTGAGTGTGTAGTTAATCATAATTCTGTGTATTTGGGCATTTATGGTTATGACTCATTTACAGAACTGCTTATCCATTTACACTCATTTTATAGCAAGATGACTGATCTGATCACTACATCTGATCAAACATTTTTGGCTGATTGAGGTATACACAATGACCCCATTTACACCTGGGACCTCATTTGGTCTTAAAATGGTCATATGTGAAATTTCACCTGAAAGTAGCGATGTATAAAGCAGAATTTCAACATTAAAGGCTATGCGCATAGACGCAGGTTTCCAACCAGACATATATATATATATATATATATATATATATATGTGTGTGAATTTGGCAGTCAAAAGGGAAATGAGGGAAAAGCATGAGGGTAAAAATTACTGTGTGGTACAACCACATTTACCTATCCGCTCGATAGGTTTTTACCTCTTAAAAAAAATCTAGCCTATATCATTAAAACCACACGTGTTTATTTGACAAAATAATAAGTCATTAATGGTTGACAGTTAACATATCATCAGATACTTGCTATATGTGGATTTGCTGTAGTGGTGAGCAACGAACTCTCACCAAAGATCAAACGTCCCACAACAAAAATGTCATTGATGTAAACTTATTAATGTTAAATTGCTCAGTGCCATAGGTCTGTAGTTTTGTTGCGTCGTTATAAGTTTAAAATCAAGTCGGGTCAAAAGGATAAATTCGTCACATTTTAGTTTGAGACAAATTTTAGTCATATGTTATACGAGTGTGCATACATCCATCTCTCCAAGACACATTAAATGATAAAAGCCCCTCCCAGTATTATGACGGAGCTCTCTCTGCTGTTTTGTTTCAAGGGTAGACCCCACCCTCTGAGTTGCCACCACTTAACAGAGCCTCCGATGCTCCTTCAGTTCAGCTCTTAACAAGAGCTTTTCCTCTGGGTTTAATTCTGTAGCCTACTGTGACAGACTTTGGTTAAGGAAGTTGTCATAAATATAGCTCCAGTTTGGTTACTTTGCCCTGTCATTAGTCAACATCTCACTAGAATGTATTGCAATTCTGTGCACATGATTTATGGCAGACATCACTAATACATGAGGCTAAGGAGGCTAATTACCCCCACACAGACACGCATTGCTTATATTGTAAAAATACTTTGTGTTTGTCCAGGTTTTATATATATATATATATATATATATATATATATATAGAGAGAGAGAGAGAGAGAGAGAGAGAGATATAGATATAGATAGAGATATAGATATAGATAGATATGTATGAATAAAAGTTTGGGCACCCCATGTCAAAATTACTGTTTTTTTTTATTTTGGAGATCAGCTTTATGTAGGTCTATTTTATTAGTACTGGAATAATTTGCAAAAGAAAGATCTGTTATTTCTCTTCATGTCTCATTGATGTTTGGTTTGTTTGATATTAGACCAGAAGAAAGATCAGAAAGGTGACACAGCAGAGGAAGATTTGATTGATCTTTGTGGGGACCAAGACTCAGAGTGGTCTGACTCGTCTTCATCCACTACATCATCCTCTTCTACATCAACCTCAAGTTCCTCTGATGAGCAGAGAAAGAAAGGAAAGAAACACAAGTGCTGCCACAAGAAAAAGCTCAAGAGAAAGAAGAGCAGAAAAGAAAAAGAAGGAAAAATGCAACAATTCATACAGAGAGGTAAATGAAACCACAACTAACCCATAGATATATTTAATGTTCTACTTGCTGTAAAACAGAGGTGTTCATAAATCTGAGTGGAGTCTTTGGGGTCTATGTCTATGAGTTTAGCCAAACCAAAAGTAAAAGCCTACTAAAAACCTGACTAAAATAATGGGCCTTCCATTATACAAATACATTACACTGTTTAAAAAAGAAAGACAACACAACTTGAAACAGGTGGTTAGTCTGCAGTTTATATAGTATGTAAGCTTGTAAACATCTCTGCTATATCAGTTTTTTTTTAACAAAAGGCTAATTTTTAAAGCTGTTTCAAACCAGACAATGCTGTGAGGTGCAGGAGAACAACACTGCAGTAATGTCTGTCCAAGACTGTATCAGTTAGCAAAACTATAAGGCAAAGACTAGATTAGATTTTAAATATTTTATTAATTTCCTCTATTAAGGTTAGCAGTTCAAATCAGTTTCAGTTCTCTGGCAGAAAACTCACAAGTCGTAAGTCTTAAGTTTCAAATCAGTTGGGAGTCGCTGACTAGAGTCCTGCTGTATAAAATGAAATAAGTTTAAGGGACTGATGGGAGGGAATATTTCAGTTAATTTGTCTGTAATGTTTTTGATTGTTTTTTTTAATCTTTGTGTTGTTTCTCTGTAGCAGGAAATCCTCAGCAGGCGGTAAGAAGATACAGAAAGATTTTGCAGCAGTACAGGAGGGGGAAAAATCTTCATGCTGCCTACAAGGCCGTCGGTGTAGATAGAAATACTGTAGTGGCCAATGCTCCCATTGCAGAGCTTGATATTGTGGCACCTCAAGAGTACAGTAAGCTGTTGGAGGGTTACTCGCGACAAGAGAAATTGCAGGTGTTTGCAAAGAAGTGCATGGATGTTTTAAACAATGATGCACAGTTGTTGACCACTGTGGAAATGTACAAAAAGAAAAACAAACTTTTACCTTTAATGAAAAGAAAATAAGAAGGTTGTTTGGTTTTTTGTTTTTTTATTTGCTACAACTGCCAACACTCTTGAATTAGGAATTAGAAGTTGTGCATAATAGAGTCAAATTAGCACTTTTTAGGGAACATTTACTTTGGTAAGATGCTCTGTGTTTTGCTTTAAAATTTTTGCAAAGGGAGTGTAAAAATGTTTGCTACTGTGTTTATTACAGAGTAAAAAACTACAGTGTAATTATTCTGTTGCTTTTTGGTTTATTCAATAAAGTTCTAATTACTCTGTTATCTCCTTTTGAGGTTTCTCAGTGATTTTAAGGTCCTAAAGTCAAAAGGCAGGTAAAAAAAAGGACTTTAGTTTGTAAATGACTTATAGGCATTTTTAGATACTCATATATATGGAATAGTTCCCACTTTAGATTAGGGGCTGCAAAAATGTTACAAATAATTAATATGTAATGAACAGGTCCTTTATAAAACATGAGTAAGAAAGTCACTACTGTTTGTTAATGTTTAACAAATCACTTGTAGGCCCAAAAATTTGTAATGAATCTTACTGTGGTTCACAAAAGGCACGTTGAATTAGTAGCTTTGATTTGTGATAATGTAATGCATATGCAGTACATTCACTAAAAGCGAATAACATCCTGATTTGTCAATCATTAGTTATGAAATAGTAGCATATGTATTTAAATTACATTTATTGCATAAAGGAAAAGCACTTATCGAGAGAAAAGTGCTTTCTTGTCCACTCAGAAAACATATCTCTACTACTGTAAATAGGCTGGAGTCTAAAGATGGATCTTCAGTCGCCATTTGAAGATGGTGAGGAATTCTGCTGTTCAGTGGAAGTTTGTTCCAGCACATGGGATCCAATGGAAGAGTCTTGATGTTTGTCTTTCATGGGCTGTACTTGAAGCTTAAACTGCTCTAGGTCATCAGGTAGGAAGGAGCTGGTCCATTTTTTGGCTTTGTAGGCAGGTGTGGGCACCAGTGGAAAGAACGCAGCAGTGGGGTGATATAAGTAACCCTTTTGATCATTTGAAAGGGCCTGACTGATCAAATCGTCCAGATGCTGTAGTGGAGAAACCTGCATGACAGGTTTGCAGTGAAGGGAAACGGTCATCAACAACACCAGGTCTTCATACATATGCAGACAGAGAATAAGGAGTTCTCCAGGGAGGTGTGATGACAGTTCTATGTATTATTATATATGGACCATTATAAAACCCTGATATCTTGTAAAGAGGACACGTTGTAGACTGTGTTGCTCAAATGGCACCACTGCCATTAATGTATAAAACAATGAAGAACAACTCTTAAATACTTGATTAGTTTATGATTAGTAAATCATTAAGTAGAAGTTTATAGATGTTTTACTTTGAAAGGTTTTTTGGCTAAAGAACTTCTAAACTTTAAAGTTTGTAAATATGCTACTAACATATGAATTTTTATTGTAGTATGTACATAACTGAAGAATAACTACTGAATTCCCGAGCTACTCATCATTTGTTAATCATGAAGTAAGAGCTTATAGGTGTCTTGTAAAGTGTTGTTAATATATTAATTAATGATTTATAACTCTAAATACATCAAATACATCATCAAGAGGGACTAATTGAGTAGATTAACTGTGGTGTGTGTGTTATTAAGTAGATTATCTGTGGTGTGTGTGATTGAGTAGATTATCTGTGGTGTGTGTGTGTTATGGAGTAGATTATCTGTGGTGTGTGTTATTGAGTAGATTATCTGTGGTGTGTGTGTTATTGAGTAGATTATCTGTGGTGTGTGTGTGATTGAGTAGATTATCTGTGGTGTGTGATTGAGTAGATTATCTGTGGTGTGTGTGTGATTGAGTAGATTATCTGTGGTGTGTGTGATTGAGTAGATTATCTGTGGTGTGTGATTGAGTAGATTATCTGTGGTATGTGTGATTGAGTAGATTATCTGTGGTGTGTGATTGAGTAGATTATCTGTGGTGTGTGTGTGATTGAGTAGATTATCTGTGGTGTGTGTTATTGAGTAGATTATCTGTGATATGTGTGATTGAGTAGATTATCTGTGGTGTGTGATTGAGTAGATTATCTGTGGTGTGTGTGTGATTGAGTAGATTATCTGTGGTGTGTGTGTGATTGAGTAGATTATCTGTGGTGTGTGTGATTGAGTAGATTATCTGTGGTGTGTGTTATTGAGTAGATTATCTATGGTGTGTGTTATTGAGTAGATTATCTGTGGTGTGTGTGATTGAGTAGATTATCTGTGGTGTGTGTGATTGAGTAGATTATCTGTGGTGTGTGTGTGATTGAGTAGATTATCTGTGGTGTGTGTGATTGAGTAGATTATCTGTGGTGTGTGTTATTGAGTAGATTATCTGTGGTGTGTGTTATTGAGTAGATTCTCTGTGGTGTGTGTTATTGAGTAGATTCTCTGTGGTGTGTTGTGTGATTGAGTAGATTATCTGTGGTGTGTGTGTTATTGAGTAGATTATCTGTGGTGTGTGTGTGATTGAGTAGATTATCTGTGGTGTGTGTGATTGAGTAGATTATCTGTGGTGTGTGTGATTGAGTAGATTATCTGTGGTGTGTGTTATTGAGTAGATTCTCTGTGGTGTGTTGTGTGATTGAGTAGATTATCTGTGGTGTGTGTTATTGAGTAGATTATCTGTGGTGTGTGTTATTGAGTAGATTATCTGTGGTGTGTGTTATTGAGTAGATTATCTGTGGTGTGTGTTATTGAGTAGATTATCTGTGGTGTGTGTGTGATTGAGTAGATTATCTGTGGTTTATTAAATGTTCTGTTCCTCTTTTACAGAGAAGTTTGAGGTTGTGGGTCCAGTTGCTCCTGTTGTCGCTGCAGCTGGTTCTGACGTTGTTCTGCCGTGTTCTGTTCGACACTCGGCTGATCTGTCCAGTCTGAGTGCTGTGGATTTGAACATTACGTGGACCAGATCAGACCTGGGAGGCGCTGTAGTTCATTTCTATGGAAATCATAAAGACATGAACACCAGACAGATTCCTCATTACAGAGGGAGAACAGCTCTGTTTAAAGAGGAGCTACAGAAGAACAACGTCTCACTGAGACTGAGTGAAGTTAAAGGTCGTGATGAAGGACAGTACAGATGTCGTGTTGAGTCCAGATTCTGGGATGATGCGGCCTCTTTTGATCTGAAAGTTGAAGGTAAAAGTCGTTCCGTTTATATTATATTTAAAATAAAGCTTATTATTGTAGTAAATGTTCGTGTGAAAGGAAGTGATGTCACACTCACTCGTATTTTTTTCCTTTAATCCACAGTTATTGGAGAGCGTCCAGTGATCACCTTGGAGAGCTATGATAGTAACTCCAAACAGTTCAGTTTACTGTGTGAGTCTAAAGGCTGGTTTCCTGAGCCTGATCTACAGTGGCTGAACTGTAAAGGAGCCATTCAGACTGCAGGAGTTACAAAGTCACAGAGACACGCTGAGCTGTTCAGTGTGAAACGACGCTTCACTGTACATAAGAACAACATCGACACGTTCTACTGCAGAGTCTCACTGAGAGAACACACGAAGGAGAAAGATATCAAAGCTGGTGTCTTCTATGGTGAGTTACT